TATATATTTATATATTTATATATTTATATATTTATATATTTATATATTTATATATTTATATATTTATATATTTATATATTTATATATTTATATATTTATATATTTATATATTTATATATTTATATATTTATATATTTATATATTATATATTTAATATTGAAAAATATAGTGAAAATTCTTGATTTAAAGTTCTTATAAATAGATTATGATATTTTTAGTGAATTTAAATTAAAAAATAAAAGGTATATATAGTTTTAGTTATATTATTTTTATTTTTATATTTTAATTTTAAATAACAAAAAATAGTTTTTTACCCACCCGCAATCGCCCGCAAACGCAAACGCTAGCTGAAACCAGCTTTTGATTTTAAGAGATTGGGAGCGGTTTGAAACGATTTGTAGCGGTTTTTGTGATTGTTGCAAAACGCTAGCAACCGCCATCAACCGCAAAAGCTGCGTTTGCGGGTGGTAGCGGGAAAACCAGTCGGACCCTTAGTCCTGCTCGGTTTAAAATTGGTCCTTTAAATATTTTTGACATCTGGATTTTTAAATATTTTTAGAAAATGGAACGTATTAATTTAACAATATAAATTATCCTTGTTGAGCTATTTTTTTTTAAATTGCCTTGTTGGGTTATTTTTAAACAAATTGTTTACCAAGGAGTTTTGAGTCTTGATCATAGTTTCTTTGGATAAAGATCCACCGAAGTATGTAAATTAGTTTAGGTTGGTTCCTTCCTAGTTCCTATCATCAAAGCTAGAACTTGTGATCTTGAGACTTGAGGTCAATTTTCTGGAAGCTCCTTTCAGCACACTGATAGCTAGTAGAGCCACATACATTGCGTTAAAACTAAAATTTGTAGATACGGTCTTTTGTAAAGTACCATTATATAATGACTCTATAACTAATTATACAAATATACTCGTAAGATTATTCGTTCTGATGAGTCATTATTATTGCAAGAATATACCAGGAAATTTCTTTAATGCGTATTAAGATGATTTTAGACCATAGATCTGTAATGAATTCGAACAATTTGTGGCACCGAGTAAGTACCTCCATGAAAAGCAATCAACAAGTGGACAGCGTTTAATCGCTGTATCTCAAAATAATGTTCTCCAATCATTTTTTCTACCATATTTTCTGCTTCATGTCACCGTATTATTTACTTTCCAGGTCCACAAATGTTATTTAGTTATTACATTAAACCAGTAATCATTTGCACCATAAAGAAAAAAAGAACACATGTTTTTGCCTTAGAAAAAAATAAAATAAATAATCTAGCGATCTACCCCCGAAATTTTAATTTGACAGTAAATACAATTGATATGTTGTTTCTTTATAACTATGAAATAAGGTCTAATTATAGATAAGTTTATATGAAAATTCCATGCCTTTATTCTAGCTATCAACTCAGTTTTCTTTCTTTTTTGCAAAAGAAAAAAAAAAACAATTTACGATTTTTTTGCTGATATTAATCACCTTTTCCATTTATTTATTTGTCTTTGTTAAAGAATAAAGAAGAAGGTTGTAACTCTCATAGTATTATTAATCACGTGGTTACACATATATATATACATACAAGAGAATAAAGCATATTCCTTAGGAGATAAGGATTGCTACAAATAAAGGGGATGATTATCCTAATCCTATAATGATTAGGATAACTACAACATATGGATAAATACAAGGGAGGATAATGACA